TATTGTCTTTGTAGTAGGCGAGGGTGGTTTCAATTTTCGCCACATTTGTTTTTTTATTAATATTATGTCAAAGTGTGACCTCAAAGGGGATTTGTTACGCATCTGTGTTGTTTATTGCAATTTTTGGGGCAGTTTTTGCGTAATTTTGGTTTCTACGGAACGTTATGGGATATTTTAATTTCCTTTATTGGTCCGAATACAAAAACATTTAAAGTTTTGATAGGATGAGCGGTGAGTATTGATGCATCACACTTCATACTATACTAATATATTTTGCAATACACGCCTTATATTTTCTGCTTTCCTGGTATCTCAGGATATAAAAAGGGCCTTAAACATGGGAATCAGTTACGAAACTTTTAAAATTATTTGAATCGTTTATCATAAAGATTGTGAAGTCATTGTTCGATTTGGCGGGTAGGCGTAAAATCGAAAATAATCGAATTTACAAAGGTACGAGAAAAACTATTTGTAAATCATAAAGGCAATGTAACGGACATTTCAATCAGTTTAAAACTAACATAGTCATCGCCGAACTTGACCACAAAACTCAACTATTGCCAAATATTTCTCGCTTTATATTATTATAGTATTTGATATAATAAAGTGAATAAAAGTGTTCGTCACTAAAATTTCATCATTCCGACCTTTGCGGTTACTTTATCAATAACAGATTCCATTTCTTGTGTTAAATCTTTCTTTTAATGTCTCATATTTTATATTTTAGAGTAATTTATTTGTGTTCGTGGAGTGGATGTAAAACAAATGACGAAACGTTTGCTAGTTTAATTATGATATTGTTTACCATTGAGGAGTGCGCTCCAGGACCGAATTTAGAGGTCTGGAGGATACGAAGCAACAAAGGAGTGGAGTGGCCGGGAGGGCTAGCCCCAAATTATTTTCAAAATAAAATGAACAATATTTTTCAGTCGAGTTTGTCAATCAATAATTTATTGTGAAACCAAGTTGATATTTAACAAACATATCAAAAGAAAAATTGTTTACTAGTCGAAATTCAAATTTTTTTTTTTGAAGTTCATTCCGGGGGCCCCTCTTTTGTGGAAGCCCTGGGGCTGTAGCCTCGGTTGCCCTCCCCTGAATCCGGCCCTGAGACATCCCTATAACGTCGGAGATATACGGTATCAGTAGCAATTTCAACTAGTAAATAGTATATATCATATTCGACAGCTGTTCTTTTTCAAAGAAAGATGAAAGACGGTTTCGACTTGTGTTTTGGATTTAAACCTCCACCAGAGTTACAAATAGGTGTCTTGTGTGTCTTCTATTAAATTTGCAAGTAACGTAAGCACAATGGCGTCATGATTGTGGTTGGAGGCGGGTGTTAAGTTACAATAATGCGAATTAAGATATTTTGTAATATGTAAGTTGCAAATACTTCATGTATTGTAGAAGGTACGATCCAATAATAAAATTATAACTAATAATAATAACTGCAACGTTTACTGGATCTATGAATTCACGGAAATCCTCAATGCGGGACACAGGACAAATTTCTTCGTTTGTTTCATATATAATTTTTATAATCAACAAGGTAGTTTCCGTTCCTAGTTTTATTGTGATAATCTATTTACTTTTATTCTTTAGTCATAGGTATCTAAAAACATTGTCATGTGTCCCATTCGTCCTTTCAGAAAAACGCGTTTTTTCGATATCCACAGTTGCAACCATTTGCAATCGTGGATATCGGATTTAAGTTTCTATAATTTATGAAAAGACGTTTTTTTTCTCTTCCCGTTTGTTGTTTACCTATAAGCGCTTGTCACATTAAATATTGTATTTTATTCCTTATGTATACCAATGTGTACTGTGCCGCGCGTCCAGATTTTATAAAAACAAATGTGTTGTCATACATATTACAATGAGCTTACACTGATTATTATTAATATGGTGTTGTACTTATGTATTGAATTCAAGACTTATTTGTTATACAAAAAAAGGTTACTAGAATTGATTTTGTAACAGATTTATATTAGTTTTATGCAAAGATGAGAACAATGCACTTCCTTTGAAATAAAGTTTCGTTACATGAACAACATAGCGAGGTATTTTGTAACGGTGTAAGTTATAAGCAATTGCAATATGGACGGCAATTGTCTTAGCACGAAATTTACGATTAAGAAGTATTTTTTTTTTTTTTTTTTTATAAAACAGGGGGCAAACGGGCAGGAGGCTCACCTGATGTTAAGTGATACCGCCGCCCATGGACACTCTCAATGCCAGAGGGCTCGCGAGTGCGTTGCCGGCCTTTCAGGAATCGGTACGCTCTTTTCTTGAAGGACCCTAAGTCGAATTGGTTCGGAAATACCTCACTGGGCAGCTGGTTCCACAAAGTGGTGGTGCGCGGCAAAAACTGCCTTGAAAAACGCTCAGTTGTGGAACGGCGGACGTCGAGGTGATACGGGTGGAATTTCGTACTCTGCCTCGACGTCCGATGACGAAACTCAGCTGCAGGTATTAATCCGAACAACTCCTCTGAACACTCTCCATGGTAAATGCGGTAGAAGATGCAGAGAGACCCCACATCTCTACGCAACGCCAAAGGATCAAGCCGCTCGGAAAGGGATTGGTCATCGACGATTCGAACCGCTCTGCGTTGAATACGGTCAAGTGGAAGGAGCTGGTACTGGGGAGCCCCCGCCCAGAGGTGAGAGCAGTACTCCATGTGGGGCCGAATTTGCTATTGTATGTCATTATAAAATAGTCAAATAACAGTGTTAGCTTTGATAGTAACAGAAACATCAGTACATAGAGCGTTGCTAAGTGTTTTTATACGAACAGGTACTATGCGTTAACTATTTGATTTTACTCTAAAAATCTCCTTAAGATATAGAAATCAATAAATTCATTTTAAGACAAGTCGTAAATCATGATGCTATTTTGCTTGCTATCAATAATTTTTCTATACTGTGCTTTAATCGGTCATTAAAGTTCGTTTCAATTATTGTTCGTTTAATGTTTTATTTCCTTTTTAAATTTCGAATTCAGATTCTATATTTTTTTTAAGTTTTATAATTGTATTAAATTTAATATGACATCATTTTATGTTTGAACGTGAAACCGTGGTCGGCGATAAAATACCAAACAAATTCCCAAGCAAGAATTTTGTCCCAAACACCAGGCGTCCAGAATGCAAGGGAAGGTTCAACCCAACACTTTTTCAAAATCGTGACCACAGAGTCACGAAGTGGTTCCGTTATGAACATATGTGCATCTCGCTCGCTCTACTTCCTTAGCGGTTTGTATAAAAGAGACATATTATTCGTGCTTTAATTTCTATTACCTATTAGAATTACATGCTGAAAATTAACAATTGAGATAAATGCCACTAACGGAATTCTATTGTTTATGGCTTTTGCTATTAATTTCGAATTATTTGTTAAATAAAGCGAACGTTAGTACAATACCTGTCTACCTATAATGTAGATATTACAAAATTAAATTGGACATACATTTCTAAATATTTTAACAAAATCAAATTTTCTAATAATTACGTCGCTTTCGTGTACAATACATGAATTTAATTATAATAAAGAAAAAAAAACGGTCATGATGACGTAGCAAAATCTTGGTTTGAAAACTGACATCTCGAAGACGCTCTGATGCGTATGTTTTGGCACGTGCTTAAGATCTATGGGTGCCGAGTATGTACGCCATAGATAAAATATAAGCTTTACATTGTATACATATGTTATGTACACTGTATAATATTTTAATGTATAATTGTGTCATTTCAATTAAATCTGTTTTATAACGAATAAAAGGGTACAAGCAAAACCGTAACAAAATAATATGTCCAGCCATAGGGGCATCGAGCAGAATTGCTGCGTCAACTTTTGACCACTTTAAGGAAAGTATGAAATCGATCTGTACCAACGCAAAACCATTATTGTTTACCGAATATCGATCCAGGATAACCTGCATGTGTATAGCACTAAATCACGAAGGCTGTTTAAGATGAGACTAATTAGACGAAGAAATCATGATTCCTTCTATTAAGATAGATGTAAATTGTATTGAACCAAGCCTGTGATTTAAGGAGGTAGGCTGTGCCACATAGACTCAACACTTCCCGTTAAATGCCTAACACATAGCAATCGATCCATGTAGTCGCAGTTAGAGAAAGTTAGCCGACGGATAAAACATTTATTACTATTGCATATTCATAGTCCCCTAAGGCACTAGCGACCAGTTTAACATGAACCCCGCCTAACATTCACATGGCTGCACAATGTGCTAAGCATGTAAGCGATGAAAGCTCTTTATAAAGTAGTGACTACTCCTTTGGCGATGCAATGTTGAGTTTATTTTTGCTAATATTTGCCGTTTCTAGCTTACTGTGTACTGGATTTTGTTTAGTTAACTAGTTTTTGCTAGATATTATATAGGAAAGTGATGAAACTGAAATAGCGAATCGCTTTATGTACGGTAATTCTTATGTAAAGTTTAAACCAGTATATAAGAGTACCGAGCTAATATTGCAGTCTTAATATTATACCGTGAGAGCGAAATCCAGTTTCTATTAAATCTAATCAAAGTGAAGGTAACTTTACTATAAGGCACACCCGTTCTAGATGCTATATCTTTGGAATTATGAAAGAATAACATAAACTTAATTGTTTAAATGAAATAAAAATGAAACAAAATATGATTTTTAAGAACATCGCGCGTGTATTCATAATAAATTAACTATTTACACGAAATAAATAACTTAACTAAAACGGTTTAACGACCGCCTAACAATCTTAATTTGGTAATACTTTGGAATTCAATATACATATCACAACGTATTGGACATCGAGAACAATAAGTCGCCGTCTCCCCATGCAATCGGGTCCGAAGAGCGTGAGTTATTATCCTCATAATACAATAAACATAATATACGCATGGCCGCAATAACGCGGTAACCATCCCAATGCCAAGTGACAAAGCCACCCGACACCTCAAACAGCGTCCCAAAAACACTCGCTCGTCAGTCGGCGTCAACTCCCTTCATTTTTGTAGCACTTTCCGTCCCATACTTTAAATGAAGTGCTCTGCTCGGGAGCGCGAGGACTACTTGTGTAATTCGGCTGTAACCTTGATGGTGACAAAAAACTGCCGTACGATAGCGAGGAGTTGACGCCAAGAGACGTATCGAGTGTGGAATAATACCCAGAGGAAGCTGCTGACGGTGGCGGGACTGGCTGCTGAACTCTACTCGCTTCAGCATACGCGTCCAAATGTGTTCTTACTAGAGTAACGAGCTCTCCATAATTCGTTACGGCTGTGCCAGCCCCCGCCACTCTGTACAGCAGCAACCTCGCCTCTCCAAATAAACTGTCCAAAATTTTACCTGTCGTGAAGAGGACGATGGCCTTCAGACAGGAGTACTCCGCTGAGTCAACGTGGAGCGCTTTCAGCTTCTCCACTTGCTCTTGGAAGATTCGGATGTGGTCCATAAACGCCACCACTCGGTCAGCTGCCATTGGTGACGCGTGAAGACCGGCGGCGGCGAGTAAGGGAGCTACATGGAGGGGCATTGAACACTGTGATGCATTAAGGACGAATAACTCCGACCAGACAAGCCTCAATAACGCCACTTGATCTGTCACTTGGAGTTCAGGGAAGAAGGGGATATTTCTCGCCCACTCTACGGCTGAGAAGAGTAACCTTGCTGCTAATTCGCAGATGTTATCTATTCCCATGACGTTGGTGGTTTGAACGCATTGTCCATATCTTGAGGTCGGGTAGGGTTCTGCTCTGAGGAGTAAAGATATGTATGAGGAGAGGTAGGGATGGTTGAGTCCAGCGGCTGGGTCACCATTCGTTAAAGCGAATTGACCAGGTAAAGATAAGCCCGCAGGCTGCGTCGGTGGTACTCTCCCTCTTTGGACAGCTGTAACAAAAGAAATAAGCACATTAAAATTACGAAACTATTACAAACGACTAACGGATTACATAAAGCGCGTGTAAATGCAAAAACATTAATATAGCGATAGAATTATGAAATAAAACAGATATAAAGACAGCTATTTAACAGTAGATGGCAATTAGCATGTTACCACAAGATGTGGCCGTAATAGCTTACTTTATGGCTTTACTAACAACTATCTGAGTTTGGCGCATAAATTTATATTTCATCGTATTAATACATCACTCAGAATAACAACTTGCGTAGACAGCGTATAATATTTGCGATACGATATAAAAGTTACAAGGGTTTTAAAGAGTGTCAAATATCAAGTACCTGGGAACATTTAAACCGAATTTGGTAAAATAGATCTTGCGTCAAAATGTCGTGATGATACTTGTTACGGGTTATATATAACCGAGTAATGCGTTTTAAATTGTCGTGAAGCAATATCCGACCCTCTGACCTCGCAACAGGTTGTATTACTTTCTGTTTTAAATGCAATTTTATGTGCTCAATATTACATCTCAATTTAACCTTAGATAATCAATTACGTTGCAATTGGTTCAAATATTTGTATTAATTATATTTATTACGATAAAACCAGTGGTCGATTATTTAAGGTTCTGGGTTCAACCCGTTGACAGATACAAGTTTATAAATAAACGGTAAGTTTTAGGTGTATTAATGCAAAGTTAAGCAATCCGAGATGAAATCTATATGCTCTAATGACCATAACACCCTGTTATGGTATAATGATGTAGTATTGTCAATTTCTTCCTTATAGACAAGTAAATATAATCATTAGCCTACACTACAAGTATGCGAGGAACTCCGCAGCATAGATGTTTTGGAGCCAACTTTTCCAACTTAAAATATTTCGTAGAATTAGATCGTAAAAAAGATAATCGTGATATATAATCGTGATTGCGACTATTCTGACGATTAGTCGTGGAAACCGTCGCTCGATTGAGCATTAGTTCCGAAATACGGCGTTAAAATATCGATTCGAAATGTCAAGTGCGCTTGGAATGCGGTGCGCGCGTTTTTTTGAATCTCTTTTTTTAAATGATGGTAACGCGCGCGTGCTGACTTTTTTGATGTTTGAAATCGGATTTGGCTTTTATTTCTACTATTATTAAGTAATATATTTTGGTTATTAATAGTTTTAGTAGAAAAATTTAATGGTGTGAAAGTGTGGAAAACAGATACCATAAAATAAATAGGTTCCTCTTTAGGAGCCACGATATACAAAATAGATTTACAAACATTAGCTGTACTATCTTAATTCTTTACGTTGTGTATTGCATACATATTACTAAAATCACCAAAACAAATAAAAATAGGAGAAGAAGTATTCCTATTTTAATTTGTTCACACGATTCATAACGCACAATCGTATACAATTTTAAGTGTTACATAAACAATTCAATTAAAGAGTGGATGTAATTCCGCTGAATTAGAGTAATTGCTGGTGCGATTATCCGGTTTCGAATGTAGGCTGAGTATAATCTATGGTCGATTCTCCCACGCTGCGTCGACACCTAGTCTAATAGCACGTCATTATTATCTGTCGATACATCGGAACATCACTATCTAATCGATGGATTGCTTAGCAAGCTTGACTAATTATACTTTTAGTTTTGTGATAGCGGAGATTCAAAAGATATTACGATGGTATCTTACAAATGTTGTGTACAGTTTGTATTGAGGATATTTTTTTGTTCTTTTTTTGAACAATATTAGGAATTGTACTATAGAAAAACAAAAGCTATTTATTACTAGTTAAAGGAGGACGTAATGACAAGGATGTGAAATGGCCATGTAGCACGGAAGTAGGATAAGCAAGGCAGCCGTGGATGATGAGGTCGGGTTGGTTAGGCATTGTCTTACATAACTGGACCAAATCCAGAAGGCACTAGAGAAGGGACAAGTTAGAAGTACCCATAACAGACGAGAACGCATATCATAAAAGTGGATGAAGCGAGAGAGGTATGTCAGGACCGTAGAGAGACCGTGGAAAAAGGCGTGATAATATAAATAAATAAAATAATTTCGCTAAATAAAATAATGTTTTTAGTTGAAAATTATAGTGAATAATTTCATACCAAAGAATTGGTGTTTAAGAAGCTTAAATAAAAATATCCATAATCATCTTTAAATGACCATTTCTATGTTTACCGTTGGTTTTATAGCGGCCGAATCAATTTTGTATTGTGATAAAATATGAATGATTTAATGTAAATCATTGAAATAGATGCTTCGGTAAGCTTAAAAGATTATAATATAAGGGTAATGACACACTCATGGTATCACAATATATCTAAAGCTTTTATGTTAAAGCTTTCTTGTATCTATGACAACCTTTACAACTTTTAACTTATAGATAGCCGATATCCTCGTGTTATATTAACTGAGTGCTATTAACGACGATAATTTATAAATATATTAAGTATACAACTTGAATTTCATAATTTCATCAAATAAAATATCTAACTTAATTATAACACCGAAATATGAAACTAAAAATCAATGACAATTTCGTTTTGAGTTTAGTTGCATTGTTTGTAAAAATCTATATGGGTGCCGGGTGGGCACCAAATTTCGTTTTTGACATATTTTTATTATCAACCTTTATCGTCTGACATGTCAGTTTCCTCATAAAGATTACATTCTAAGTATTAGCGAGTGTTAATTGTACTTAGGTAGAATTCCATTGCAGTTCCGAACGCATTTCCTACCTCTAAATTGGGAGTGTATAGCTACGTATAGAATACAATATGTACCTACTAGAAAACTGAGGTACGAGACCTTTAAGGTTAGGATTTATAGTAGGTAGATTTCAATATTAGGATTACGTATGTGTATAATTATTTTATATTGGGGTTATTATAGTTTAAAATTGTCATAATATACTACCTGTTTGGTTATCATTTGTTTTTTTTCTAATAGGCAAGTTTCTAATCTTCTGTGCATGACACGCCGTCGACTTTTTGGGTATAAAGCCCGGATTCCTCAAGGTATTTTTCATTCACGCGCCTGAATGTTAAACGCACACCTAGACAGTAAGTCCATTGGTGCACAGTCGAACCTACGACCTTAGGAATGAGAGTCACACTGAAGCCACTAGGTAAACTCGTCATTCCTATGTGTATATTTTTTAATAGAACAGGGGCTAAACGGGCAGAACCTGATGTTAAGTGATACCGCCGTCCATTGACACACTCAATGGCAGAGGGCTCGAGTGCGGTGCCGGCCTTTTAAGAATTGGTACGTTCTTTTCTTGGACCCTAAGTCGAATCGGAAATATTTCGGTGGGCAGATGGTTCCACATAGTGGTGGTGCGCAGCAAAAGCTGCCTTAAAAACGCTCAGTTGTGTAACGACGGCATAGCTTTAGTATTCCAATATTGTGTAACTATCCTATATAATTTGCATATGTCAAATATAAGATTTCTCCAAATTTGAAGCGCATTCTTTTACGGATTAAGTGAAAATTAACTCTTTATTATAATTGTGTTGGTATTTTTGTTGATTGGACGTATTTGTTGATTTTATGATTGGATACGGTATTCAGTCGTTAAATATTGATTATATGTTTATTAATAGAAATTTGAATATACATTTTAAACCAATAAAATTTCGACTATCAATTAACGAAAGTTTATTGGAATGCTTCTAATCGATTTGGCAGTATTGGCATTAGTGTGCGACCGTCTCTGAGGGCTTGCGTTCGAATTACGGTTGCGAACCAATGAACCAATGAATGCGATTCATAATTAACACTCATTCGTATATAGATGTGTTTTATTGAATAGGGAGCAAAAGGACAGCATCGCAAATGCGTTGCCGGCCTTTTAAGAATGGTTGCGCTTGTTGAAGGACCCTAAGTCGAATTGATTCGGAAATATTTCATACAGGCAGGTAGTGCGGTAACCGCTTTAATAATATTTCGCGTGATTGATACGGCTTCCTGCATTAATTGAACTTTTTAAATACATTTAGTAGTTTTAAGGATAATATAGACATACAAAATATATTTTATAAATAATAGTTCGAGCTTTAAGAATCTCAGTCGGAGGTTGGCAATTAAACGGTGATAAGCAATTTGTTTTATACCTTAACTAATAAATATGTTTTGCATTCTCGTTACATAAATTATATATTAAACCTCCTTCGTATGTCATCAACTTAAGTTTATTAACATATTGCATTTGCCGATTGCACTGACAAATAAACTACTGATTGCAAGATAAAGACATAAAAAAAGAAAAAAAATAAGGCGAGAGCAAAATACAGTAAAATAAATGACGATCGTACGTCGCGCGCGCTGACTAAGTATGTAAACTTTAGTTGAAGGCTTCAAAAAAATGACCATTATTTTATTCCACTACAAAATATGGACACAGATAACAAAGTAATTTCTATTAAATTGCCAAATGTTATTCAGAATCTAACCACGCTTAGCCTATATACGTGAGATGTGTTTAATTCCACACACGTACAACAAAATTATCATTGTAATTTGAATTATAAGCTGTTGGTGTATGATATATTTTTGTTTAACGTCAGGCGTTCTTGACATACATTTTGTATTGTCATTTCTGAGATGGACCAACGGAATTATGACCCACGAATTCTTTTATAACAATTCTTGAGAGAGACATACGTATTACTTAAAGTCTCAATTAGTTAAATAATATTTTGTAATTTTTTTGCATAATACGCGAAATAAATGACATTCAAGCGCTATTTAAAAGTAATCTTTTCCGAATATGATTCATCTTCTTGCTTTAGACGTACGACGTGTTGTAAGGAAAATTTTTTTTATGAGATGACGAAAAAGAAAATCAGTGGCGCTACAACCTCTTTAAGTCTTGGCCTCAGATTTCTGAATCTGTTTCATGATCATTTTTTAAATATAATAGGCATTTTTAAATATAAGTAGGTTATCAGCCTCCAGTGCCTAGCACACGCCGGCAACTTTTTGGGTCTAAGACATGTCGGTGTCCTTACGATGTTTTCCTTGACCGTTCGAGCAAATGTTGAATGCGCACATAGAAAGAAAGTCCATTGGTGCACAGCTGGGGATCGAACCTACGACCTCAGGTATGAGAGTCGCACGCTGAAGCCACTAGGCTAACACTGCTTTGAGATCACGAACCTTGTAAAAATCACATATATAACAAACAAATTGTTTTAATTATTCAAGAGTTCATAATTTCCTACCAAAAAGGAAAAAGTTCTATAATATATTTAAGGGGTTAATTTGTACCAGGTTAAAAATAAACAATTGTGACATTCTACTACAAATTAAAGCGTGTACTTTTCCTAATAATATTGTTAG